GACGGGGTTTCACCATGTTGACCAGGATGGTCTCGATCTCTTGACCTCGTGATCCACCCGCCTCGGCCTCCCAAAGTGCTGGGATTACAGGCTTGAGCCACCGCGCCCGGCCAAATTTTTGTTGTTTATAAGCCACCCAGTTTATGGTGTTTTGTTATAGCAGCCCTAATGGACAAAGACAAGAGGGAACCATGTAGATAGCTGGGGAGACAGAGCTCCTGGCAGAGGGAACAGCAGATGCAAAGGCCCCGAGGCTAGGCTAGCTTATTGGTGGGTGTTGGAAATAGACGCTCGGTGCCTCAAAGAAAAATCAGCACTGAGACAAAGGATATTTCAGCAACACAATTTTTACTTCCTGGACTGCAGGAAGGGGACCCTCGCTAGCCATCTTGCCATGAGAGTACCATGAACAAAGGAAAACAGATATATTTATCCCTTACACATTTGGGGTCGTCCTTACTGCTGTGTCTGATCTCCATTGGCTGGAGCCAGACCTCACCATCTAAACTAAAACCCGATTGGCTAACAACTTAAAACTTTTCTAAACAGGTCAAAGCAATGGAGAGCTGGGACATGCCTGTGAGCACGTCCAGCACAGATATCTTGGTTAAAGCACAAGAACATAGAATGTACTACGTGCCTGTAATCATGGCATGTCCAACAGCTACATAGGCTAGGGCTTAACAAAGAGTTATTAGCACACTTATGATTTATTCTTTAACAAGAAAGGAAACTTTAAAGAGGAACTTTTCTACTTCCCACAGTGAGCAAGGAGCATGCAGGGAGACAAGATCTGAGAGGCATGCAGGTTGAATCACCGTTTTATCCAGGAGGGAACAGAGACTCAGGTGGTTTAAGACATCTCTAGAACACCAGACAACAAATCAGCAAATCAGTGGCAGAGTCAGGATTCTAATATACGACCACCTGAATGGAAGGGATGTAGCTGCCTCCCACAGATGCTAAATCGCTCATTCACTGGTTCCTTCAGGAAACACCCCCCCACCAAGGGCCTCCTCTGTGTCCAGCCTGTACTGGGCAGTCCTCAGCAGCCAAGCCATTTAAGGATAGAAAGTCATGATTTCTGAATATGTAAGGGCAGCAGTGGCCCAGTTCGGTCCCTGCCTTAGTCAGTTCTGGCTGCTATAACAAACTATTACAGAGTGGGTGTCTTAAACAGCAAACATCTACTGCTCACAGCTCTGAAGGCCGGGAAGTCCAAGGTCAAGGTGCCAGCAGATGTACAGTCTGAGGCGGGCTCATTTTCTGATTTGCAGATCACTATCTTCTCATTGTGTCTGCATATGGCTGAGAGAAGAGATCGAGGCAGCAAGCCCTCTCATGTCTCTTCCAATAAGGGCCCTCATCCCACCCTAAAGGCTGCATCCTCATGATGAAATCACCTCCCAAAGACCCCATCTCCAAATATGATACCATCCCACGGGGGATTAGAGTTTCAACATATGAAATGAGAAGGGGGTTGGGGGCGTGGTGGCTCACGCTTGGTTTCCCAGCACTTTGGGAGGCCAAGGTGGGCAGATCACCTGAGGTCAGGAGTTCAAGACCAGCCTGCCCAACATGGAGAAACCCCGTCTCTACTAAAAATACAAAATTAGCCCGGCATGGTGGTGAATGCCTATAATCTCAGCTACTCGGGAGGCTGAGGCAGGAGAATTGCTTGAAGCCGGGAGCCGAGATCGCGCCATTGCACTCCAGCCTGGGTAACAAGAGCAAGACTCCATCTCAAAAAAAAAAAAAAAAGAAATGGGAAGGGGATACAAGTATTCTGTTTCAGCAGCCCCTCCACATGGGTGGGGAGTGGAAATGTCTGGGAGCATGTCCTGTATCCCATGTGACTCACTTGTTTCTCTCCCTTAGTTGTGAGGGGATCTGGGGTGTCT